CTGGTGGATTCTAGATGATTGCTTAGGAAATCCTGCTTGGGCAGCCAGCTTGTTGCTCCGCATTGGTGGATTCCATACGAGCGGTAAAATTGGGCGGGTCAAGTCGATCCAAGTGTGATTAAATGCATGGCGCGAAGTGGGGCGTTTGTAACTTAAGTGGTTAGAGCGTTGGCTTTCGGTAAAGGCCTTCTCTACTATGCGGGTTCAAAGCCCGCCGAACGCCTCGAGTTTTTTCACAATTGGGTCAACTCAAATTGCGGAGTTCTCCTTAATTTTTCCGACCTTTCTGCCTTAATGTGAGGATTAAATTCGGATATGCTTATTTAAAACAGGTGAATATATCAATGCTTACGGCTACAGAGTAAGGGAAGGAAGGCCAACTTATAGTGTTTCCTAATTTCTTCGTCGATCCTTAGCAGGCGACGGTATGATCATTTGGTCGCTCTGTCACATAGCCAGCTGAAACACTTTATTTCCATATCCAGCTTCCGACGCTTTCAACGTCAAACATAAAACTCAAAAAAGAAGTGATCGGCCACCAAATGAGTATGAGTGATCATTACTATTTTTCTATAAAGTGTACTTATTTTATAAATGTCTTCGGAAATAAAAATAATAATACGAAGTAACCAGGTACGGTTGCCGAGCGCGGCTCCTGTAAGCTACCGAAGCTAATTCAAAAGCCGGCATACTGGCATGGCAGAAATATTTGGGAACTATACTGCACGATACTTAACACCAAAAATAGTATCTGGGTGATTTTTCCTAAACGAAAAAGCCCTTTGAAATTTCAGTTAATACTTCATGAGATTATTCACTCAGGGCAATTCAATATTGCTTTGGCAATGGGAACGTAGAAATTCAATTTCAATAATTGGTAAAGGCTCCACGGTCACTAAGAGGACGAAACGCCAGACTGAAGACAAGAATTTATAATAGATTGGCAAATGTTGACTAGACATGCGTCACAGTCGTACCAAAAGCTCTATGTGTACGATATCTGTGAACCTGGAAAGAAAGCGACAATTACTAACCAGTGGTACTTAACGCACACATTTATGAGTTACCTAGAGACAGCGAGGGAGCCATTCACCCGTTGTATAATGACCGAGCCACCTGCTTTTTGGATGCGCTCCTTCTCAGTGGGGTGGACGGGTTTATGGTCGGTTGTCGCAAAAGACACCCTACCGTCTCGAATTAGCATGGCCCGGGAATCGCCACAGTTTGCAAAAAATATGTGGTTCGGAGTGATGAGGACGCAGATTGCCGTGGAACCTGATTTATCCTCACCGCTGGCGATTTCTGGGAGGTTGCGAAGACGTTCGTCGAGGGCGAGAAAGCCTTCGCGAATACCCTGCTGGATTTCCGGGATGCTCGGGGCCAGGTCTGGGTCGATCCTCTTAAATTCCTCGGTTCCAACTATGCACTGAAAAATAAAATAAAACATTTGCCTGATTACGTTTTGAGTCTGCCGACACGACAGCATTTCAAACAGTCGTCTTACAGTGGCACTTTTTTGGGGGTTTAACTAAATTTTCGATTAATGACTGACTACTCAGTGATTAACATCCTTATAAACGATGACAATTCAGGAAAACGAAGAACTAACCGACTTCTAGTAGTCATCAAATTCATGCTTCCAGAAGTCGTAGGCATACATCTTAACAGCAAACATTACTACCAGATTTATGTAAAGGCGATGTCAAAATTTTAAGATACGTCAAGGAAGCAGTGACCTTACACAAAAATAGTAAAGACTCCCTAAAAAACAAGTTTACCAAGCTGTATGTCGGTTTATAATGAAAGGTCGCATCGGCCACACCACCTGTAAAACACGTGAGCACTTGAAACAGATTTTGTTTGGTTCGAGGGCAGGTAAAACTCCTATGCAATATAAGGATCAATTATGCGAGACGTTTGAAGGAAGATTGCGAAAGTTTCACCCAAATGGGGCATGGTACTGGAAGAAAAGTTCAGACCCAGATGTTTTTTTCCTAGACTGGCTGATTTTTACTTCAGTAGTCTGGCGAAACCATTGTTTTAAACTGATTATGTATGTAGTGTTTCTCCTACTAAGTAATTACGAGTTATTACCCTAAACCCAACAACCCCACCCTAATGAAAGCGACGAAGTTAAGTCTTGGCTGTAAAAAATCCATCAGGATGATTCTTGGAGAAAAACGGGTGGGACCCACGAGATTCACTGCCCAAAAACCGTAGAACTTGGAAGCATCTCGCAGGACACAATGTCGGCAAAATTGAGTCGACCCTCACTAGGAAAAATGACTTAACCCTTCTAAGCACCTGTATGCCTAAACAGTTTCGTTGTTTTCAAATTAAGGGGTCAACGCAGCTCGAAACGTCCTCGCCCCGGTCCTAAAAAATAACAGGAACATATCGTGTAGCTCAAAAACTATTCCATCGACAGCTGGCGGTCAGTAGGGGTTAACGAAAAAATTTCCTTCTGAGAAAACCATGGTAACATCTTAGGAGGAGAGTAAAGACAATTAAAAAATATTTTGATAATAGAATTTATTGACTTGAAAGCGCAATGAGTAGATAACGACAGTGCTGGGAAATGGTCGACCGGGTCTCGAAATGCATAAAAAAGAACAAGAACATTCATTTTTTCGATCAAAATAGGGTTATCTTATACCGCTTAATAGATTCCGAAGCAAAATTCGCAGGTTACTTCTGTGAACACACGACGCATGAACTGACTTAAGATTGTCTACCACGAGAAGTCAAAATTGCTCGTGAGTGAAAATTGCGGCGTCTACAAGTGTTTATGTGATACATTCACCTACGGTGTGCAAGGAATGCAAATGCTTACCTTTAGGAGTTCCGAGGCGCACAGTTCCGATACAAGAGCGCCGGCGTGCCCGTCAAAGACGGCAAAAAATGACCAATCCTTAAGATTCCCGGGCATTTGAGTAATAGCGCAGTGAGCATCCTCCATGGACACTCTCCAGCCTTGCATGCTGGACAAACCATACCGCAGGTTGTTGCCTGCGCCGGACTCATTAAACTTCTCCGTCCGGGGTGTGTCGAGGAGCGCTCCCATGAGCTTGAGAAAAACAGACAACTCCTTAGTGAAAACAGTGCACGAGTTAAATCTACACTATAAGACGGTCACCGAATTTTCTAGAGTGAATATAGAAAAGCAGGCAAAATATTCAAGTGTTTGGTTGAAAGTCCGATCAGTGAGCGCCCCGCTAATATAGTCCGAAGTTTTAAAATACAAGAAAACAATTGTCGGGACAGGCACAGATGTGCCCAAAAGTCCTTTGTTTTTACTATGAGTGGTCTGAAATAAATCCGTCATTTTGTCAAACTCAGAGAAGAATCTCATTCGGGAAAGTGGATCGTATTCAAATGACTGCGAACGAAAAAACTAGTTATTTTCGTTCTCTATGCACACATCCTAACATACACAGCTACCCAACAGGATGATGGGGATAAGTAGAGCTTTTTGGTGAGTAAACTCGTGAGACTAATGAATAGACGCTTTTAATGGCTTCACAAAAATCCCAAAGAAAACATGGACTCGAGAAATGATTTGGTCCTGTTTAAAAAAGACATGGCTCTGTAATACTAGACTGTCGAGACATTCAAGCCAAACAGCAGTAATCAAGTAGTCATAGGCTATCTCATAATCCCACTGTTATTCAGTCGGCGTCTGAGTTCAGGCTGCTAGCGTCATTACAAAACCGTGGTGTACCACGATTTACTTCCTAGCTGATAGCTGTCCACGCAGAATAAATCGGGGATCCGAACAAACCGAGCAAACTTTAAATGTCTCTTCATAAAATTTAAGAAAGGCACACAATTCAAACACAGTAAACAACAAAAAAATTTACAAAGCTAGCCAAACAAAATTACCTAATATCAATTATAAGAGATAATATAAATATCCATAAATTACCCCGAGATCGAATCTGGAATAAGGATTTCCCTCTTAGATATCAGGTAGGTGAGGCGGACAGCAACTTCACAAGACAAATTAATGTGAGAAGGAGTAGAAGAGGGACATTTGGGGCTAGATAAATCGATAGATAACTGGCCAGAAAGAAACTGATAGAAAGAAAGGCCAAATTCAAAAGTATGTTCAAAGATAAACAAATCTGAAAAACAATTTAACCAAAAAACACTGCCAACATTTGTCAAACTATGTATGAAATAATTGGTTTCTTTAATGTAATAATATAATATATTTGTTAGTTTGCTACTATGTACTGCCTGGCCGTTTAAGTGTTTATGCAATTCGCGGGCTGTTCAAAAATGTCTTCGGTACACCAGTTGGACGGTGTCTCTCAGCTACAGCAGGCTAAAGCGGCTGCAACGGCAAAGATAGAGGCGGCGAGAGCAAGTATAATTCATCTTCTAAAATACGAATTAATAAGGGCGAATAATCAGATTAAAACAAGCTAAGGACGAAGCAAAACTCGATATTGACGCCTACAAGCAAGAGCGTGAAGCCGGCCTAAAACAGCTAGAAATGACGGTATGTACACTTTTCAGTTCATTTTCTTATAACTTATTCAAGCTGGGACAAGTTCACGCTGACTCAGACACCAAAGTTGGCACATTTACGGAGTACCAAATATCAAATATGCAACTTCTCTATACCCAAAACAAGGAAGCCGCATTGAAAACACTTCTGACTGAGGTGTTAACAGTCACTCCTTCTGTCCATCGTAACATGAGATTGTGATAGTTTCT